TTCAGCATGTATCTTCCAGCATGTGAAAAATGTCAAATGTTGTGCTCATTGATGTTGTATAAGCTTTTAAACATCGGGAGAAATAATGATATAAGCGGGTTCCTTTGATAGCAGAAACAATTCTCAAATTGTTTAGCAAGTATATCATGAGTGTTAACAGCTGTTTTGTTTAAACTAAAAACATGTCCTTTGGTGTCAAAATTTGATTTCCAATCGGCCTTTGACAGGTTATTAATTATTTTCACTGTACCACCTACTTTATCACATGCACTTTTTCTATGTACAGTGTAGAAAAAATGCTAATCTGCTTTCAGCTCGTAGTCTTTTTCATGAAAACAGAGGTTTTTCAAATTAAATCTATAATACATTAAAAAAAATTATATTGATAAAAAAACAAATTTGATAAAATAATTAATATCCTAATTATTCTATAGCAAATTTGAAAAACATCATTTGAATAACCAAATATGGTTTGTTTAAAATTGGTTAATCAGATTTTTTTGAATGATGTTAATAAAAAAATTAACCTACTTATTTTTATACTGGTTGCCTGCAACATCAGTGAAATAATGAATCTTCTGGGAAACATCTGAATGACAGAGAGCATTATGAAGCTCTTCTAATTTACCTTATTTGTTGCTTATATATGAACAAATGAAGTTTATGCTTTCATTCTTTGGCAACTTTTGAATGAGTAAAGCAGAATGGGGAACATGTTAAGCAATCAGCAGTTTGATTATACTTACCTGGTTGATACTGTATGTAATAGCTGTAGCAAACAAGTTTGGTACGCCATTGCATTATTCTATTGTTTTATAATTTGCCTTTTATGGTTCTGTTTTTTTGCGTTTGTTTAAAGATTTTGAGAAGAAGGCTACTGGCTGTCCATTTTGGTTTAATGTTGCAGCTAACAAAAAAACAAATGCATCTGTTTTAGCAACAAATGGATTTGTTTCATCATTTTATTATAGCATTTGCAAAATTATTTTTTAGTAGCTTGAAAGCGTCTGTAGAGTAATTAAAGATAAACTTTGAAAATTAGCAAGAGAAGAGATTTACAAATCATTGTAATGCTTTATTAATTTGCAGTACTGGTAAATTAAGCAGGGTTCAAACTTTTCTGTGCCTATGCCAGAAACAACAATAGAAATAACATATCAAAGAAGATTGAACACTTTTGCTGCTGTTAAAAGTAAGCTTGTTTTCCTTGGCTGCTTTGAATAGTTTATTTAAATTAAGGTTGTGTTCAGCTTAAGTCATACACTACCGTAATATTATCTAAATACACATTGGTGCTTTTTAAAGAGCTCCAATTTATAAACTCATCAATATTTTGTTAAAAAACAGTGGCTGCATTTGTTGGACCAAATAAAAAAAGAGTAAATCGATACAACTTGCCATTGGCTTCAAATGCTCTATATGGTTTGTCCTCTGGTAGTAGTAAGATTTAATAATAAGCACTTGAAAGATAATGAGTACTGAAAAAATGTTATTTGAAAATTAGGGCGGGTCATTTTTCAACTTTTTACAATAAATACTTAGGCCATATGAATTTTAAATGTGTTGGACATGTAAAACTAATGCAAAAAAAAAAAAAAAAAAAACTTAAGTTTTTAGGTTTTCAAATTTGAACCTCAAAAACTGAGGTTTTGGGTAAAAAATGAGGAATATGCGGTTTGCTGCAACTTTTGACCGGTTATTCCAATTGAATCAAAAACATCTTCTATTGAATCCTCGATCCCAAATACCTTTTAATAGACACTTAGACAGTCATTTTAGCTTAAAAAGTTATGATTTTTAAAGTTTACAAAGATCATTATTTTTGCTATACTTTATTGTTATATCTTGGGTTGTTACGAAAAAATATTTTATTTAAACTTGAATTTATTTAGTAAGTTATATAAAATGATCTATTTGATTCACATACTTTAGTGAAATGTTCTTGTTTTTGACATTTGTGGCAAACAACATTTTGAGTAGGATAAGCACTGTGTGGGTGACGATTGTTTCCACTGAAGTAACAGTTTTACGGTTGGTGGTGAGGTTTGTTGGTTATAATTATATTTTCTTGTATTACGCATTGAATTGATTTGAGGTATGTTAGACTGATACTGCACAGAGTGTTTTTGCGCAAACTCTAAAGAGCATGCTTGGTCGAATGCCAATGTTAGTGTAAGAGTCTTGTTTTCTAGTAGTCTCTGGCATATCATACTTGAGTTTAAATCAGTGATAAATGCATCTCTGATAGATTCATGCTGTAAATAGCGGCCTTTTACTGCATTAAAGTTGCAATCTCTTGCTAGGTTTTAAAAAGCTTGAATAATAGTAGAGTTAATTGATTGCAGTTATATTGCATAATATATTGCATAAATATACAATAAATAACTTTTTTTTGTAATCATCTAAAGTTCTTACACTTGATTAAATTAATGTTAGCCCTCGACAAATAAAATTTTAGATTTGAATCAAATAGGGTAAAACCTACAATAAAAAACATATAAGTTAAAACCGCAACAATAATATAACTAACAAATCTTGATTGTAAAGCATTTAGCCTTAAAAGAAGCTGTGCCAGAGTTTTTAGTTACTTTTGTAAAAAGTACGCATTAAAAATAGATATTTATAAACCATATATGTATAATATTCCAAGTAAATATTTATTTAAAAGCATAACATTAAAAAAGTTTTAAGTCAATGTAATGCAGGCTTGGCCAGGAAGCCATGTGATTTCACGCCATAATATGACCAAGCAAATACTATTTGGTTTTGAAAACTTGACCACAGATGTTAATATGTTTTGAAAATTTGTATCTTAACTTAACTATGAAGTAATTAACTTAACTTAAAAAAAACTTGTAAAAGAAGCAAATAAATCTTCGTAAAAAAAATAACGAAAAAATAAAATGAAAATAACTTAACTAAAACTAAAATAAAAATAATTAAATTAAAACTTTACTAAAATAAACAACAAACAAAATAACAAAAAATGATAAAATTATCTAAATTACGTTTGGAATAAATAACTTTTATTGTTTATTTTTATTTTTGTTTTTATAATATGTTACGCGAAACCATTATTTTAATTAAAGTAACATTTACATCTAATGATTATTTAATAAATTTAAAAGTTAAAAATGCGCACATTTAAAAGTTAAAAATAAGATTCTAAACTTTTTTTTTTTACGTTACTTTGCAGTAACATAAAAAAAATAATTAAATCGTTTATTTAAAAAATTTATACAATATTTTTTTTATATTTAATCACATTTATAATAAAAAATACATTCTTATATAAATATAAAAAAATATATATATATTCATTATTATTTTTATAAAAAATCATTAACAGTGATTTGTTACTTTATTAAAATGTGTTTCAATAATATAGAAACATAAGAAAAGATCAAAGTTATTTAATTAAAACGGCTTCTAAAAAAGTTTTTTTTTCTTCTCAACAAAATCTTTCTTTTTTTCAAGTGGATTAACTTTAATTATTCTTATATAAAGTTTATTAAAGAGACCATCGCTGTTTAAAATCGTCTGTTATAAATTAAAATTTTTTTTTTAATAATTTTACTTATAAAAAATCTTATATAATTAAATAATATATATAAAAATTTATAAAACTTGCAATGATATTTTAATTAAAATCATTAGCTACTTTATTTAAATGCGTTTTGCTAGTATAAAAACGACAGTAAAGATAAACATGTCAAAGTTATTTATTTTCCACATAATTAAAAACCAATTTTTTTAGTGCATTTGTTAAAATCCCTAACTAAATTGTCAAAAAAAATATTATTTGCGTGACCATATAAAGACTTGAAATTGCACGTCTTTCTGGCCAAGCCTATAATGCTAATATTTTTTATCAAACTTAATTTTGTAATGCCAAACTTAAATTCTGAATTTAAATACAAACTTTTGTAGTAAAAAACACAAGTAGATACTACCTTTATATGACCCTTAACTGTCAGTAACTGTAAAAAGTCAAGTTCTGATTTTAGTATGGTGTAACCAGTGATCAAGCCTTCCCGAGAAGCGCAAGCGGTCGCACGCTTAGTTCGTCCACACTTAAAGCAATTTTATTAGTCAAACTGAACACGACAGTTCGCATCTTTTAACTTATAAAGTGTTTCAATAATTTGCGGCAAAAAGCGAAACTTATCTACTAAGAAAATAAAAACAATCATAAAAAAAGGAAACAAAATTGTAACAAAATATCAACGTTAATTAAATAAACTAGAAAATTGAAAAAAGTAAATAACTTTATTTTTTAACAACATTTTATACAACTTTTATATTCTACTTTTGAGTAGAATATAAAAGTTATTGTTAAAAAAAACATTATCTTTTATAACCATTTAACAACAATTGAAAGTTTTGATATGCAATTTATTCTTGATTTTTATCAGTCCATACATTTAAGAAACTAATTTGCTATAAACGCTAGAATTATAAGAAACTTTGTTAATTTTTTTTCCTTATATTTATTTGTTTTGTACGTCTTTTCGCTTTTAAAAATATTTTTGCTTTATTTGAGGGTTTTTTTCTCAATACTTCTGTAATAGGAAAATTAGAAAATAAACTTATTTATTTGTAAAACTAAGAAAATAATGTTAAAATAAAATAAGAAAATAATGTTATTTATCTGTAAAACATATTATTTGATTAATAATTTTTGTAATGACGGAATAAATTAAATAAAAGAATAACATGGTTTTTTTATAATAAATGTATTTACGGCATTTAATGCATGTCTGAAATTATTTTTTTTTATAATGCCCAATTTCTAATGTTAATAAAAATTGCCAAAGATAATGAACATACGATTGCTCTGTTTTAAAAATTTTAATAAACTATTTTTAAAAAATGCAAAAATTTTGGTTGTGAAAAATAACTTCCCAGGAAGGCTTGAGTGATGTATAATTTTGCCCTAAATCACCAGTATATAAAAAACTAAAAAATTCTACAGAAAAATAAAAAATATGATAAATTACCTCAGGTTTAAAAAGATCATCATACTTTATATTAAGTTTAAGTTCTTTTGTTGACGAGTCAACTAAGTATCTTTTTTCATCATACTCAAACTAAATAAACAAATGAAGTAAAACACTATCAAAGAATCTAACCATAAACTTATATTAAAATTTTAATATAAACATGTTTGATACTCAACAACATGTATGTTTGATACTCAACAACAAAATGGTTGTTGCTATTTTTATGAAATAACTTTGAATCATGTTTCAACAACATTTAAGTTATTATGACATTTATGCAAAAATATCAAGAGAATAAGATATTACTTATGTTTCTTAAGAAGTTGATGTATAAAGAGATTAAAACTTTTTAAAAAAATATTTCAAACCTCTGTTAATTATAAGATTATATTAAATAACTTCTCATACAATGCTTTTACAAATCATTATTTAGTTTTTCAGTTTCAAAAAATACACATGTGAGGCATTTGAAAATACTTGAAAAACTTTTTGAAAATTGGGTGGGGGAAAGGAAGGGGAAGATAGAGAGACACGCAAAATTAGAAATAACATTACAACTTTTACTCTTTCTACTCTTAAAATAAATTCTGTTTAAATGTCAAAGAAGCATAATTTAAAATATCTCAAATAGCTAATTGGGATATCATTTTTAAAATTTTAAATGCTTTGAAAAGATTTTATATTAAAATAGATTAGAAGCTTGATATAACTAATATAACTAAAATAACTTGCACTAATTATACAAACAAAATGATTTCTTTGAAAACTTAGCCAAATTGTATTTTTTAACAATCCAACTGAATGATTTAGTATGTTATTTAAAAAGTTGACCAAATTGAATTATTTAACAATCCATCTGAATTTATTATGTTACTATTTGCTATGACAACGATCAGAAAAAACAGCATAAAAATTTTGAGGTCTGGACTCAAATTTTGTGGGTAAAATAAAAATATACTGTCATTTGCGATTTTCTTAGTACACATCAAGAAGACTTTTTAAGATTTCCTTTTGTTTGTATTGTTTATTTTAAGACTATACACATAATAGATTTTGATTTTAATTAATAAAATGAAAGTATGTGAATTAAAGCAATATTCAAGACTTATAATTTGTGTGTTTCTGGAACAAAGAGGGAATTGATCGCTTGTGCATTTTCTGCAATGGAAAAATTTATTGAGCCTGTACTTACTGCCACATAGTCAGTGGAAAAACTCAAAAACAAATATAAAAAAAAACTTTTTATTAACAATATTAAATTGAGTGATCCATTTATCTTAACATATGGTTGGTTACCTAAAAAGGTGGTATTAAATATTGACCTATGGTTTTGTATACAGATATTTTTAACTATCTGATGTTTGACCCATTTGAATTATGTAGCAATGACCTAAATGATTATAAAAACTCAAAAGCTTTCAGTTTTTATAAAACAAGTTGGCTTCAAAAATTAGAATCACTGCATAAATGAGGAGTCCACTTTGTGCAATAAAGGGTGCATGTAGGCATTCACAATGTATTAATGACACATACCATAAACAGTGGTTAATTATAGAAAAAAATACAAAAATCCAATCTTGTCACTGTAAATGTATGACTGGAATGAGCTAAACTTGTAACCATGTGGCTGCAGCAATGTTTAGAATTGAAGCTGTTTATAGAATGGGTTTAACATATCCGATTGTACATTGGGTTCAAATCAATGGCTTCCAAATCGTAAAGATGTTTTGCCTGTTAAAATTAAAAATCTAGATTTTAGCAGACAAGATTTTTCTCAGCATTGGAATAAAAAAAACTGCTTGTAGACAGTTTGCGTAAAAAAATTAATCTATTTCTGATTCTTCTACCAAGCTTAATCTCCAGGATATTGCTGAAGTGTTAAAAGACACCTAATTCCATTCTTTTTAATGCTATACCTAAACCAGAGATTAACTTTAATTTAGAAGTTGTAAATGACATTAGTACTTCCCCCAATAAAATCTAACGAGTGTTGATAATATACAATATCAAAAGATATTGAGCAGTTAACCAGAGGTCAAAATAAAAACAAACAATGGTACAAGTTTAGAAAAGGTGTTATTGTTATATGTTATATGTTTAGACAAAAAAAAACAAAAAAGTAAAATAGTTGCGGATATGTCAGAATTAAATCATCGAATATCTGGGATATCATTTGTTATTCTAAATGTACCCGCATTAAAGTATGGTAAAAAAATGAAAGAAAATGCTGTTAATAGTTTTTATGAAATTTTAAAAATAAGTCAAAAAGGGGTAGCATTGCATGACGGTAGATTATTTTTAGATAGAGATATTCTTTTCATTGGTGGTAGTCCTGATCATTTTGTTACTTATTTGTGTTGTTCACCTGCATGTCTTGAAGTAAAATGTTAATTTTCTATAAATTACTTGTCCTCAATTGATCCAAGCGTAAAATTTCCATATTTAATAAAAATGATGTTGGAATTTCTATAAACAAGAATTATGCATATTATATGCAATGCAGTGTACAAATGGCTGTTACAAGGCACCATCATTCATATTTTATGGTGTGGAAACCTCATAGAAATTTTATTAAACATTTTACAATAAAAAATGAATCAAGTGTAATTTTAAAGAGTATTATTATATTCTTTGAGGGGCACAATCGTCAATTTCTAAAAAAAAGTCCTCAATATCTAGAATTTTTTAAAAAAATAGATTCTTTAGAAAAAAAGTGGTGTGGTGGGGAGGGGGTCAGTGTGTCTAGTGTCATTGGCCCTAAATATATTAACATTTTACTAATAAATATTAAAACATTTTTGATTTATAAGCAGATTTTTTTATCATTCTGTTTGCTGGAGAGTTTAGCTTATGATTCATTTTGGTTTAATAAGGTTTCACATTGTAAAAAATTTAAAAAACTTGTGGAAATCACATGATCCAGGCTTGGTCGGGAAGCGGGAGCGATCGCTCTCGAATACTGACCACGGAAATTATATTTAGTTGCGTAAAACTGGCCAGGTTTTTTAGTCGTTTTGAGAACATTTAAGTTTATGTACGAAACAAAAAATTTTTGTTTTACGGACATACATGGAAACATAAAAAACTTGATGGTTCTCAAAACATCTTTGTGCGAAAGAATAAAAAGAATATTTGCAAACTCTCAAAACCCGCCAAATTAACGAACAAACTAATTCTATTGGTTCAAAAAATACGCTGTTTAAGCGAAATAAAGTTCTAGAGTATTCTGTTAAAATGTTTTAAAAAATTGTATTATACACGATTTGTTACGTTTTGAGATTTCTAGCATTGTTTTAAGAATATATATTATTTGTTTACGAAAATAAATGTTTTAAATATAATTGATTAAATTGTTAAAATTTTAAAAGTTTATTATAAATCATTGATTTTATTAGTATATTCTTATTTTTTATTTTAAAAGAGATTGTATTCTTTATGTAAATGTAATTTTGTGTATTTGTTTTTTATCGTAATGTATCTTTTAAAGCAATTTTTATGATTTAAACAAAGACTTACAAAAATAATTGCGTTTTCAATGAAGTTATAATCGTTAAAGTTAATAAAACTAATTATGTAACAAACATATAAGTAGTTTCTGGTTACTAAACACAAAAAACGCATACAAAGTAACTCGCGGATGAACAAGCATTGCGCCTGAGGTCACAACTAATATACTTTTTTCTGCTTTAAATACTAATTAAAATTAAAAAGCCCACTCACTAAACATCATCAGCGATATTGCGAAGCAGTTTCGCTTCCTGGTCATTAAGTATTTTTAACCTTTTTAGTTGATTTCTATCTTGATTATTTAATTCCTATAGTAATTTGATGATTTAATTTTTTCATTTGTTTATCTTACTAAGAAGAATCGCTTCAAATATGTTAAACTTTTCAAACTACTCGAAACATAAAATAGGTATTATAAAATTAACTTTTTTATTTATAAAAAAATTTAGCTTAAGTAAAACTAAAACTTGCAAACTTAGTTAAATAAAGAATATTTATTTCCCTTTTAAACAATCGTAAGTTGTTACTTTATATAAAAAACATCGCTTAATTTTATTTTTTTTGTAATTGTCTCTCATCGGTCCAATTAATCTTCGTCGCTTTTTTTTTTTTTGCTTTTTAAAATGTTCTCAAAACGACTAAAAATCTGGCCAGCTTTTCGCAACTAAATATTATTTACGTGGTCAGCAATCGAGAGCGATCGCTCCCGCTTCCCGACCAAGCCTGATGATCTAGAATTTATTCAATGAACATTGACTCGTTTTTCTTATAAATTAGATTAACATTATTAATTTGTGAATTCTTCTTTGTTTTTAAAATTTTAAATTTCTAATTTGCATTTAAAATAGTGATTAAGTTAGTCTTAAGTCTTTGGAGCCATTCGTTGTATATTAAAATTTCATTGTGTATTATTACCACCTCTTTTTTTACATTCTGGTTATTATGAACACCTCCCCAATTTTCAAAACTAAAAATATTTTTTATTCAAATGAAATTTTTTATTCAAGTGTATTTTTTAATCAATATGTAAACAAAATTTAAGAATTTAATATTATTTAGCAACTAGTTCAGGTCACCCTACTATTGGTCATGTAAGCTAGTGCAACCTGTTACTGGTCATGTAATCTAGTGCAACCTACTTCATGTTAACATCAGGAAGGGTAAAAAATTGCTTTAATAATTAATGACATTAAAATCATAAAAAAAATATTGCAAAAAATAAAAATAAATTATTTTTTTAAATTTCAATTTCTTATATTTTCACCTCTTGCATTATTGACTTGCTCAGGTTTTAAGTTACATAGTGCAGCACACACCCTCATAATATCATCAACATGACGCAACATTGTTAAAGGAAAAGCCGTATATATATATAAACGGTATTATACTGTAGTAGTGTAGTGGTAGAGGGCTTGCTTCATAAGTGAAGTTTCAAATTTGACCCCCGGCACTTCTTTGGTAGTACCGCACTCAACTTGTTTCTCCACGCAGAGGCATTGTTTGTCATCTGCCTCCTCATCTGTAGTGGTCTTCTCAGCCTTTGAGGGGTGAATTAAAATAAAAAAACCATTCTTTAAATTTCTATAAGTTTTTAATCTATATATTACTCTTTCCATATGTATTCTTAAGTTAGCAATTTTTTTAGTTTTATTACATTCAGATGCAATCATTTGACTTTAAGACCAGCACCTGGAGGAACGATCAAAGTACAAAACCTTAACAAAGGTTCTTCTTGGATGTGAAATCCACGATGCCATGACTTCATTATCACGTTCTAACAAGTCTTATAAACCACTATCTTTTGTTAAAAATTTATCAGAATATCTTCCACCATAACAATCAGAAAAAAAAAGTGATAAACCCACTGGAAGAAATTCCAACAAGAAACTTAAAAGTCTTTTGGTTGTTTATAATCAGACCAAATTAAGGCTTGTGCTAGTGGGGATTTTCATTGTTCAATAAAAATTTCAGAATAATCAAAAATCACGCTTATATACTATAGGTAAACTTTCCTTGATGTATTCGCATGGAAGCCATACAATAATAGCACTATCTAACACACTGCATAAAAGTTTAATCTATGTGGTAAATGTGTTAGAACAAATAGGAATTCTGAATCATTCTGCAATATCTTCATTAAAAATTTCAAGACAAAGTTACATGTGTTAAAAAAAAATTAATCACAATGAGTAAGTTTTTTATGTTTAGGTGAATAAAATTTAGCTTTAACTTGCTAAAAATCTGAACATGTTTGGTTCCTCACCAGTGTCTAAGTTTATTGAGATCTTTTTTTTTTTTTTTGTAGAAATGATGAGATTATTGGATTTGTGAACAATAAAAATCATTTAAGATGCCTGGAGTTACTTGCAGAGTATGATTTATTTCTTTCAGAACACATTTAACAACGCTAACAAAGATAGAGGCCACATATCATATTTGTCATCAACAATATGTGATGAATTTATTTTAATTATAAGTGATCAGTTAATGAGGCAGGTCATACAAGAAATAAAATATGCAAAATACTATTCTATATCAGTAGACTCAACACAGGATGTTTCGCATTCAGACCAGGTAACATTGATAATTCGATATGTAATAGCAAGCAAACCAGTTGAACATTTTATAAAATTTATTCCGATATATGAGCATAATGGTGAGAGCTACTTGCATTTTTAAAAGAGAATTGCATAACCATTAAAAACTGTAGGGGACAATTGGATGAAAATACATAAAATAAGAGTGGAAAATACAATTGTATGCAAGCCTGGATTTGTAAAGAAAACAGTTAATATATTCCAGCTGAATATATTCCATGTTGTGGACATTCTCTAAACCTTGTTGTTCAAAATATGGCCAACAGCTGTCCAGTTGCAGTTTATTTTTTTTTTGATTTCGTTCAAAAACTGTTTGTGTTTTTCTCTGCTTCAGCACACCAATGAATTTAACTGGCTTTACACCTTTACGAATACCTACATTAAAACGACTTTTGGATACCGTTGGTCTGCTCACCAAGATGGACTGCAGAAAGGAAACCAACAACTGAAAAAGCTGATAAGTGATAGGAAGCAAAAAAACTTAATGCAAGTATGAATAAGTTGGAGACTAGACCTATGGTCGATGTATGGTCCATGGTTTTAGAAGGAATTTGACAAAACAAGCTAATACCTCCAAGATTCAAAACTAGATTTGAATATGGCTACAAAGATGTTGCAATCCCTAAAAACATTTGTTCAAGAGGTTTTGAACAAACCTAATGCTTCTTTTATGCTTTTGTTGATATGCATCAAAATGGTGCATATCAACAAATGCATAAAATAAAAATTAAGCGAAACAGAATATGGGACTATCGTGATGTAGAGACCGATAATGCTGAGGCTGGATTGATGCCTATGAAAAAGTTTAAAATATACACATTTCTTGCAATTATTGACATGCTATTATCAGACTTAAATCAGAGAATCTCTGTATACAGTGTTAGTGATGATAGATTTGGTTATTTGTCTTAAGTAAACACTTTAAAATCTTACAATTTGCAAGCCAAAACCATTTGTTTAGTTTAAATATACCACGAAGACCTTTAGCCTCAGTTATCCAATGAAATTGTTCAATTTATTGCTTTGTTTAAATAGTTTAACAAAGAAAACACATAAACTGAAAACAAAATTTTTTAAGAAATTTTAGGATTTTGACTGTAAATAGAACTTCAACTAAACGAAGCTTAAACTGCTTATTAAATAATTAAAATTGTTTTTTAAATTTCAAAAGTTTTTTGACTCAAAAAAAAGTTTAACAGAAAGTTTTTCTTGTTTAACAAACAAGCATGGCAACTGAAACAGTTTAATTTGCATGAACATAATAACTAATCCTTTAATTTAACAACTAATTATATAAAAGTATAATTACTTTCTAGCTGGTTTTGTTATTGTCAACTTAAGTTTTTGAAAATCTTTTATAACCAATACAACTGTATCAGTCAGTTTTTTATTCAATTTTTCATAAGCATAGTATATTTTTTTAAACTATTTTCAGAAATGCAAAGTTGGTTATGGAATAAAATTTTTTTATGTTTATTTATACAGATAATATACATTTTACTATTATATTTTATTAGTAAAAAATTTTCATACCTTTCGATCAATAACCGGAGGTACGATATTCAATTGGTATTTTGTTTTCAAATTTTCAATCGAAATTTGATTTGAATCATTTTCTAATTTATTGCTTTCAGCTTTTGGAGAACCAACTTTGCAATTTGCAGGCTCCTCTTCATCAGATATGTACGATGAAAGGCCATCCATTCTTAATTATTTTTTATTTTTCTCACCTTGTGAAAGCAAGTTAAACAAACAAAAATGTTCAAAGCGTTCTAATCACGTGGTGTTACAAAACTGACTTGGTAAATATTTCTACGCTATAGGAATTGCGCTACTTTAATGTTTAAATTTTTTTAAACGTAAATTACATTTACATAAACATTAAAGTATAAATAATTTCACTGATATACACGTAAAGTAGGGTAGATTGACATAAAACGGCTTCATATTATACTTAACTAGGTAGCTGCACACAAACAAAATATACAGGTGATTTGATTTAAAGATCAAATGCGTATGCATGCATTATGTTAAAAAACAGTATACATTAACACCAGAGCCGTGCCTAGGCACCCCCAAACCCCCCAATTGGGGGGGGGGCAGTATTTTTAGGGGCCCTTTTTAAAAGTTAAAATATCTTTTAACTTTAAAAGGGTTTAAGTGAAGTAAAAAGATTTGCATTTTAACCATTATATTAACTAAGTTATGCATGCTAAAAAGTAAAAAAAGCAAAAGTCATTTTTACGCAAATACAATTTACACTCTCGAGTTCTTTTGTTTTGTTAGAAGTTTTTTGAGAAACCACTATAGCGGTTTGTCTGATGTTATTTTAGCGGTTTGTCTGATGTTATTTAGCGGTTTGTTTGATGTTAATAAGAAACCATTAAACAGCGTTTCGTGGGGAAATATATTTCAAAGTATGTCGCTTATTTTATGATTACAAGCGAATTTATTATTTTTAATTAGGTTATTTATTGATTAACTATAATTTGCTGGTAATTCAACTGTTTACCAATTCACCACGGTAAAGTTTATTTTATTACTATTATTTCTATTACTTATGTTTTATGCCTAGCAAAAAATATAATTATCTTTCATTCTTAGTTTTTTACAATATTTTGGAATTATTGGAATGAAAAAAGTGAAAAGTGGTGCCACTAAAAGAAGAGAAAAAGCTGCAGCCATGGAGAAAATCATGAAATACCCCAAGCTAACACATTTTTTAAAACCAGCAGTTCCGGCTAGCAGTGTTTTGATATCAACAAATAATTTTGATTGTGATTATTTGGGTACTAGACTAGAGTCAGATGGGTTAATCTATGACTCAAATGCAAAGTCAAATGTAAGTCATGGTTTAATCTGTGAATCAAATGCCACAACAAATCCACTAATATTTCTCAGTGATGATCCTTCTGATTGGCCTCTGACGCTCAGAAGTGTGATGTTGTTAAACGAGGTTTAAAAAAGATTGAAATCGACTTTCCAAAAAATTCAGAAAGAAGACGATTTTCCATGAGTTATTATAACCGCAAAATGAAAAATGGAGAAATCTTTGAAAGATCATGGCTTATATATTCTTTAAATAGTGATAAAGTGTTTTGTTTCTGTTGCAAACTTTTTGGGATAACTTCTTCACCATTTCGAAAAGGAATAAACACGTGGGAAGGCTTATCAAATAAACTTAAAGAACACGAAACATGCAGTGCACATTTAAAATGCTTTGAACATTGGATGACATTACGAAAAGGTAACTGATATTTCATTTAACTTGTTTTGTTACTTTTTTTATTGCTAAAATATTAATTTTTTTTCAATTTTGACAATGCAGGCATAGCAAATCAAGCTACCATAGACGAGCAACAACAAAAGTTGCTTCATAAAGAGCGGGTATTTTGGAGATCTGTGTTGGAAAGGATACTGGACATTACGTTATTTCTTTCAGCAAGAAATCTTGCATTCCGTGGTTCAGACACGGCAATTGGTTCAAAGAGCAATGGAAATTTTCTTGGGGTGTTTGAATTACTGGCTAAGTACGATGCCGTCCTCAAGGAGCTTCTGTTAAGAATTCAGGACAAAAAAACAAACGCTCACTATTTGAGCAATGACACACAGAACGAGTTGATTAGATGTTTAGCGCAGGAGATTGAATCAGAAAACCTTTCTATGGTAAAAAAAGCAAAATACTATTTGGTTATTTTAGATTTCAGGCCAGACGTTTCGCACAAAGAACAAATGAGCATAATTTTAAGATCAGTGACATGTACTTCTAAAGTAGGTATTAACATTTCCAAAAATTTCTTTGGATATCTCACAGTAAATGATACCACTGGAAAAGGGCTTTTGGATGCCTTTTTAAATCAGGCAAAAAAATGGGATCTAAATATTCTTGATTGTCGAGGCCAATCTTATGATAATGGTGCTAACATGAAAGGAAAACTTAAAGGTGTTCAAGCCAGGCTTCTAGAAATGAATCCAAAGGCTATATATGTTCCATGTGCAAATCATTCACTGAATCTTTTTATTGTTGATAGTACACTGTCATCTATCAGTGCAATATCTTTTTTTGGAGTTCTTACAAGATTGTATACCCTCTTTTCATCGTCTCCTCCTCGATGGGAAATTTTAAAATCGTGTGTGGAAATTTCTGTCAAACCACAATCAGATACAAGATGGGAAAGTAAAATAAACTGTGTTAAACCACTTCGCTATTATCTGAAAGAAATTTTAGAGGCACTTGACAGATTGGAAAAACATGCCTTTGAAAAGAAAGATGGGGCAACAGCCACAGAAGTACGATCTCTGATTGAATATATTAGGACATGGCCTTTCTTATTATCAATCATTATTTGGTATGACGTTTTATTTCAAATCAACAAATCAAGTAAGTTTTTTCAGTCTTCTACAACCTCTCTTGACATATTGGCTAGTGAAATAAAAGCAACAAATACATTTCTTTATGAGTATCGTGAGACTGGATTTACTGACGCACATATTAAAGCACAAGAAATTGCAAAAGAATTGGGCATTGAAAAGGTTTTTCCAACAGTGCGCTTACGAAAAAAAAAATGTATTCATACGAGTGTGCTGATGAAACTCGGCAACCTGAGCATCAGTATAAAGCAGATTTCTTTTTGCCACTCATTGACATGTCAATTGCATCAGTAAAGGAGCGTTTTGAACAGGTCAGTATCTTCACAAATCTTTTTGACTTTCTTTACCGGTCTGAGAGTCTTATCAAAGCCTGTAATGAAAATTCTCTTACTGTATTTTGCACAAATTTGCAAACAAAGCTCGGTGATATAGATTCTGAGGATTTGGAAATGGAGTTGAAACGATTTGTCAAAGTTGTACAAGAGGACAAAAATACACACCTGAAATCTGCATATGACTTCCTTAACTACGTCTACAAAGAAGAGCTGCAGGAAACTTATCCTAATCTAGTTATTGCGTTACGCATCATTCTTACTTCTCTAGTAACTGTTGCAAGTGCAGAACGTAGCTTTAGCAAGTTAAAATTAATTAAAACTTTTCATAGGTCAGTATAAATACTCTTACTTCCTTATACGTAAACACATATAACTATATTTCTTTGTATCTTTATGTAGATCAACAATGGTCGATGAACGTTTGTCTTCCCTAGCAATGCTGTCAATCGAGAACGAGGTGGCAAGGAAACTAAGTTATGAAGGCTTAATAAATAAGTTTGCAAGTATGAAAACACGACGCAAACCTTTTTTTTGACCTGTGAATGCCTAATACATTCACAGTAGTCAAAGAAACTTTTTGTTTTAAACTCTTAATAAATATAAGAATTATAAAATATACTTAATTAAAGGGTTAATTTTATTGTTTTTTTTCTCGTGAACGACTACTTAAAAATATGTTCGGTGCATTATAAAAGATACGCCTTGCGCTTTTTGAAAAAAAAAAGTGTCAATTTAAACGCATTTAAAAAAACTTTGGGGCCCTAATGAAATGTTTGGGGGGGGGGGGGCTAAAGCCACTAGCCACGGCACTGATTAACACGGTTTTTCACCTGATTTTGACATATTACCACCTCATTTCGACATAGCATCATTCTGTTTCGACAATGTATCACTACATTTTGACACTGTTGCATTCAATTTCGACACGGTTGTATCATATTTTGACAATTTAAAAATATTATATTTTCAATAAAAATTTTCATATTTATGATGAAATTTTTTGTTAAATAATAATTAGTTGTGTTTAATCAGAACAATAAAATAATTAATGTGGCTATTTTTTTACTTAAATCAAGTTGCCATAATAATTGTTTTTAATTGCTATATTTATTGACAATGATAAATTGATCCGTCATTTCGAAAAGGGTACAAGTCCATTTATTCAAACTTTTCAGGATCAACAATATCAAATTTTTAAGAAAAAAAGTTTATGGTGCTAAAGAAACTGAATATAAGAGTAGATAAATAAAAGTCATACATAAGTTTTTAGAGTTTTATTTATTATAAAAAAACAACATATAACACATATTTTTAATTTAAATTTATGGACTTATGTCTTATTCGAAATGAACACTTTTTTGTATATAAAAAACCAAAGATTATCAGAATAATAATGATTTATTATTACATAAAAACAATTATTGTTAGTTAATCATCACTTAATTCATTGTTTGCCGAAGTTGTTGGCCAAGCAAAAACCTTTGTATAGAAGTTTTGGTACTCTTCTATTGAATATGGAATATATTTTTCTATATTTTAAATCTGATATCTTTTTTTCATTCATAGGCAATTTTCCAACATATGCTAGAGTACTACTTAATGGTAAGGTTGGCCTTGTACCCATCCTTTGTAATAGCTGAAAATCATAACTGACTAAACAATCTATGGATTAACGTGTTGTCACTAAACCTGGTGTGGTCTTAGAGAATGTGAAATGTGAGATTTTAGAAATACCAAAAGTTTTTTGTCCTTGGGTACTCCTTTTCCATAGGAATCCACAGATAGCACAAGTTTCTTTTAATGGTTTGGCCACCATTTTTTTAAATCAATAATATCTTCAGTTCTGGGCCTTCTAATTTCAAATTTTTCGCTTGCTTCAGCTATAAGATTTTCATACTCTGTTGGTGTGTAAATCCGATCATTTTTTTGAATATGTCGCTTTGCTGTTCCAAACATTCTATCATTAGGCAAGAATGAGTGACCTCTTTTTGGTATGTAGTATTGTATCTCATTTATATTGCTATCTAGTTCAGCTACCAGTGATAAAAGTATTCGA